TAACCCTTTCTATTGTTCCATGAAAATTAACTAATTTTTTACCAAAATCGTTGAAAAAGAGTAAGTCTTGATAGTTTGCTCCTCTAAAGCATTTAATCATGGTGTGAACATAAGGGGATTTATTAAAATTAGACATATTCTATTATAAAATGAAATAATTAAACTAACTAAGAAATTTAATTTTTGAAGCCTAGCTATTCTATTAACACTTTGTGATAGATTTTATGATAAATTTTATTAAAGAAAATTGTTCTTGAAAATCTTAGCTTCAGAAGAGTGTTTTTATGACTATAATATTTTATTCCAAATTATTCAGTTGATGCTCGACTTGAATGGAATAAGCTAATTATTATTTATGTTCTCTACCTTATTAGGTAACTTTACTATATATTGTATATGCTCAACTAATTTAAGTATAGAGGAACTAAAATGGAAAAATTAATGACTTTTTCTACTCGTACTCTTAACAATAAATTCCTACTGTATTTATTGCTTATTTGGAACAAATTAGAATTTTTCAAAAATGTTTTATGATTTAAATTCCATCTTTAAGTTTAAATAATATCTCTAAAAGACTTTTCGTAGAGGAGTTTTGGCTAAATGTTTGGGGGATTATTTATTATTTTACTAAAAACTATAATGATACCCTAAAAAATATTTATTTTTATTTTATGTAATGGTTTCAAAGAATCATTATCATATATTGAAGAAAGACCACTACTAAGCATAAAGAATTTATTGCTATAAAAAAATGAAGTTCCTTCCAAAATATTAAAATAAAAAAATTTTTGCTCTGAAACTAATTTGAAAAACTTGATTTGCTAGGGATCCCACAATATCATCTTACAAGGCCACCTATATCCTAATTCTGTCGAACCCCTGTTTTGAGAATTCAGGGTATTAGTCAATAAAGTTAGAAATTAAATATTGATCCGCAATGAAACCCATTCATTAAATGAATATCCCTGTTTTCCATTGGATAACAACTGTTAAGTTATCAGATAATGTTTAGAGTTAATTAGTTCATTTATCATCCATACATTTTCTTTTTTTAAGATTTCTATAGTTTCATTCCGTCCTCATAGTTATAAGTATTTTAAAATTTCGATGAACAAAATAATTATCTTTCTTTATTGACAATATACAACATCAGATTTGGTTCCAATTCCGAGGCGTTAATCCAATCATTGTGATCAATTTCAGTCTCTTATTTCAATTTCATAAATTTGATTATAAGACTCTACACAATTATTGATTTCAGGTCTTGTATAACAATGTCAAAGGGTAGCAATTATAAGATATAGCTATTAGAAATATTTCCTTTCTCATCCACCTCTTTACAGATTCTTGGATCCTCATTGAAATGGATCCATTTCTTTTAATCTATTTATCGACTTTTCATCCTTCTTTATTTTCTCCCAAGCCTTGTCGACTATTCCTATATATCCTTATATCAATCTCTAAACCTTGTATCTCTGTAAACTTAAATCAATATATCTTAAAATAGAATTAATCTAATTGAATAGAGTCTAAGTAGTATACAAAATTTATTAATTTTCGATTTGAATAATTCTATTCTTGAATCTATGCTGGCTTTTGTTATTAATAGAAATAATTTGAAAGTTCTACAAGAAGTAAACTTTTAGACTTCTCAATTTCGTATTCAATATCAAACAAAAGACGATATTATTAGCGTTAAGCAAGTTCCTTCAACGATTTACCACACTTAATTTTTATTCACCTTTATCCGGGTTTGGGTTTTGGGTTTGGGTTTGGGTTTGGGTTTGGGTTTGGGTTTGGGTTTGGGTTTGGGTTTGGGGTTTGGGTTTGGGTTTGGGG